AAAAAAAAAAAAAAAAAGAGAGCTCAACACACACATATATCCATTGAAACAAAAGTTTCATAGCAACAGTACTTTTCCAGCTCGGTGCAGTGGCTCACGCCTATAATCCCAGTACTTTGGGAGGCTGAGGCGGGCAGATCACCTGAGGTCAGAAGTTCGAGACCAGTCTGGCCAACATGGTGAAACCCTGTCTTTAAAAGAAAAAAAAAGAGAAACAGTACTTTTCCTACTACATGTAATAATATACTTCATTTCTTCTTTTTTGTTTTTTAACGCTGATCAACCTTCTTAATTTATCTCCTAACTGTGGGGTCAAACCTGCAGTTTGAAAAACATTACCATGGGAAAAGAGAAGAAATATCAGTTGGGTTACTGCTCCCGTGCCCCTCTCAGTGTCTGTGGGGTGAGCTCATAGTAATAACATCACTCATTTGGACAACTGTTGGCAGATATAAAATTTCATGTTTATTGGCGCCCTCACCAACTGGGATGAGGCAGGGGTTACAGAAAGAGAAACTGAGTTTCTGAAAGACTTAAGTTTCCCAGAGTAACATGGTTAGTAGATGGCTATGCTGAGGTTGGAACCTGGGCTCAGAACCCCATGTCCAGGGCTGTGGCCAAAAGCTTTTCTGCTGAACCTCCTGCTGTGTCCAGGGCATGGGAAAAAATATAGTCTCTCTGGGGCCAGAGAAACCTTTGGGGAAGGAGGGTACAAGGGTGCCAAGCAGAACATCACATCCCATCCTATCACCCCCACCAGGAGGGACGTGTAGCCATCACCCGAGTGGCCAACCTTCTGCTGTGTATGTATGCCAAGGAGACCGTGGGCTTTGGAATGCTCAAGGCCAAGGTGTGTATATGCCCATCCCCCACAGCCCTGGGCCCAGCCTTTGTGCTCCCTCACTGTGTCCGCTCCCACCAGGACCCTGTTTTTAGAGGCTTCGTGTCTACTCAGTCCATTTCTGGTATGGGCCAGCTCCCAAGAGCAGGTGGGGGTTGGGGCTGGTTGCTCCCTATGGCACTGGGAGCAGACCTGGATTTGGGATTCCCAGGGGCTGGCCATGTGCGGGACTGATTTCTGTTCTCCCTCTTGTAGGCCCAGGCTTTGGTGCAGTACCTGGAGGAGCCTCTCACCCAAGTTGCAGCATCTTAGTGGCATTGGTGGAAGCTGGGGTCAGAAAAGAAAAATGACCATTTGGAGGGGCGGGGCCTCCTAGAAGAACCTTCTGGGACAATGCCGGGAGGATGGGACTTTGTTTTTCTAAGAATAAACTTCAACTCCTGTCATGTGTCTTGGCTGCTTTCTTGGTTGGGAGGAATCAGAGAAGATAGGGAGAAGCAGGCATTGCTTCTAGGATTCCTCGTGTTCTGCAAGGATGGACTTCTGCCCGCCCCTTCACCATGACCTCCCATGATCAAATGGTTCTTGGCCTTACGCCATACCTAGACCCTGCCTCTCAGAACAGCGTCTTACCCACCTCATTGGCGAAACTGTGGGAGTGGGCTCAGAGGAGCAAGGGTCTGCTGGGGTTGTGTTGCCCAGAGAATATAAAGGCCCTGGGAAGTCACTGTTTTATTCCAGGTTTTGCGGGTGGGTGTCTTGTCTTTTTTTTTTTTTTTGAGAGGGTCTCCCTCTGTTGCCCAGTCTGTAATGCAGTGACACACAAAATCTCAGCTCACTGCAGGCTCAACATCCTGGCTCAAGCAATTCTACCTCAGCCTCCTGAGTTGCTGGGACTATAGGCACACACCATCGTGCTAGATAATTTTAGGGGGTTTTGTGTGTGTGTGTTTGGGTTTGGGTTCTTTTTTTTTTTGCAGCGATGAGGTCCCAATATGTTGCTCAGGCTGGTCTCCAACTGGGCTCAAACCATCCTCCTGCCTCCCGGAGTGCTGGGCTTGTACCACTGCGACTGCCCAGTGAGTGCCTTTTCTATTCGTGGTATTCAGAGGGTACCCCAATAGCCTAGAATGAGCCATTCCTTTCCTCTTCCTCCAGGTGTTCATGTGCTTACACAGACCCTCCCCAGATCCTGAGGCCCTCTGTAGACATGATGCCTTTGCTGTGAGGCCTCAGGTGCTGTACAGGGACTAGAAGTAATCCAGACCTCCCAAAGGCCTTCATCTCCAGATCCTGCTCCTACACTCAGACCACTCACCCCAGCTGTCTGGGGTTCTGCCCAGGTTCTCCCCCTACCCAGTGTCCTTAAAGCAGGTATGTATAGGGAGCTACCAGCCCCCTTCCCCAGTGCCATAGAAAGGAACCCATCCCAAAGAAGTGGGTAGGTTTCGAGTCCCAGCTCCACCCAAGATGAGAAACACTGCCCATCCCAGGCCCTGGGCTGTTAAGGAGGGGCAGAAGTTACTGTGGCCATGATGCAGCTCCCACAACTCTGCATTGCAGCCGAGTGACTGGTGTTCTGTCACCCCTAGTCCAATGTCCCTTACTCTGGTTCTCCCAGTGTACCCCCTGACCCGGAGCTCTGAAGAAAAAGCAAGCCAAGTGGGTTTCTTTTTTCTTTTTTTTTTTTTTGAGATGGAGTCTCACTCTGTTGTCCAGGCTGGAGTGCAATGGCATGATCTTGGCTCACTGCAGCCTCTGCCTCCCGGGTTCAAACGATTCTCCTACCTCAGCCTCCCAAGTAGCTGGGATTACAGGCACCCACCACCACACCTGGCTAATTTTTGTATTTTTAGTAGAGACTGGGTTTTACCATGTTTGCCAGGCTGGTCTCAAACCCCTGACCTCAGGCCTCCCAAAGTGCTGTGATTACAGGCGTGAGCCCCCTCGCCTGGCTTCCAGTGGGTTTCTGAGGGGCTATTTGTTGCTCATTAGTTGTGGGGCCTGCCCTCACCACAGATTCCAGGAGCCCAGCAATGCACTCAGCCCTCAGTGGGCTGTCTCTGAAGGTCCTGTCCCTGTTTCTCGCTTCCAGCTTGCGGGAGCCCAGGCTGAGAGCAGACACCCAACCTGCCGAACCTGTCTGACGTCATCGTCTCTCCACCCACCTGGGCCCCAGGTCTCCAGCCGCCCAGCTCTTCCTGTTCTCAGCTTCCGTCCTCTCAGCTTCCTTACAGCACCCCCACCTGCCAGAGCTGATCTTCCCTAGGCCCTGCCTAACCTTGAGTTTGCCCCCAATCCCCCTGGCTGCAAACGTCTCCTTACCGCCAATGAGAGGAGGGGCAGGCCCAGAACTTTTGAGAGCTGAGGGTTGAAGGCATTGAGCCAACACACAGACTTGTCACCTCTGACCCCGAAGACACCTCTACCCTCCATGCGGAGCCAAGATGGGGAATGGAAAAGAGGAAGATTATAACTTTGTCTTCAAGGGTGAGTTGGGGTTCCTGAAGCAAGAGGAAGCCCGAGAGACCCAGAAAGAGATTGTTAGAGCCGGAAAGGCCCCCCTCCTGTTTTATATCTACCAGATAGATATATTTCTCCTCATTCCTTCAGAAAGAAAGCGGCAGGGGGTCGGGGAGGATCTGGTTGCAGGGGCAAAAGTCAGGGAGCTTCTGAGTATGCCTTACTCTGATAAATGATGATGTTTATCCCACCTTAAGAGAGCTGAGTTAGGCTCCTCTGTCCCGTTCCTAATAGAAACCCAAATACCTGGTGTTAGCCAGTGCAGCACAAGAGATGGAGCTCAGACTTCAGAAAGGACTTCCCTCTTGAGAAGAAAGGGAAACCAGCAGACAAGAGGAAAAAAGTCATTTTTTCTGGGCAGGTGTACAGGGAAGGACAGAAAGGAGAGACCTAGCCCTTTATAGGGTGGGGTAAAACATGCATAGGGAAGACAGAAAATATCATGAGTCTGATAGAATCCAGAGGACTCGGCCGGGCGCGGTGGCTCAAGCCTGTAATCCCAGCACTTTGGGAGGCCGAGGCGGGTGGATCACGAGGTCAAGAGATCGAGACCATCCTGGTCAACGTGGTGAAACCCTGTCTCCACTAAAACTACAAAAAATCAGCTGGGCATGGTGGCACGTGCCTGTAATCCCAGCTACTCAGGAGGCTGAGGCAGGAGAATTGCCTGAACCCGGGAGGTGGAGGTTGCGGTG